TTCTAAAATATAGAAAGTATCTTGAAAATTTATACTCCAATAAGCTAGAAAATTTAAAAGACACTGACAAATTCCTAAAGACATATGACTTACCCAAATCAAACCAGAGGATATAGAAAATTTAAATAGATCAATTGCAAGTAATGAAATTGAAGATGCCATAAAAGCCTGCCAACAAATAAAAGCCCAGCACTGGATGGATGCTCACCCAAGTTCTACCAGGGCTTCAAAGACAAACTAACACCAATCCTCCTCAGATTATTCCATGAAACAAAGAAGAAGGGAACTTTTAAAAACTCATTCTATGAAGCTAGTATCACCCTAATACCAAAACCAAACAGAAACACATCAAGGAGTTTCAGACCAATATCTTTGATGAATATTGATGCAAAAATTCTTAATAAAATACTGGTAAATCACATATAAAAACACATTAAAAAGACAGTGCACTATGATCAAGTGGGTGTCATCCCAGGGATGCAAGGTTGGTTCAACATATGGAAATTAATAAACGTATTCTCCACATAAATAAGACTTAAAGGCAAGAATCCAATGATTATCTCAATAGATGCAGAGAAAGCATTGGTCAAAATAGAGCCTCCATTCTTGTTTAAAACACTAGAAAAACTACAGACAAAAGGCACACACCTCAGCACTGAGGCATAAGACAAACCCAAGGCCAACATCATTCTAAATGGAGAAAAACTGAAAGCATACTGTCTAAAATCAGGAACAAGACTTGATGCCCACTTCACCACTTCTATTCAACATAGTCCTTGAAACTCTAGCCAGAGAAATTAGGCAAAAGAAAAAAATTAAAGGTATATGAATAGGAAAAGAAGAGCTCCAAGTATATCTGTCAACAACACAAACCATATTTAAAAGATTCAAAAAAACTCACCTAAAAATTTCTAGAACTCATAAATGAATTCAGCAAAGTAGCAGGATATAAAATTAACACCCATAAATCAACTGCAATGATGATGAATATACCAATGATGAATCAGCTGAAAGAGAAATTAGGAAAACTATCCCATTCACAATAGCCTCAAAAAAACATAACACTTGGGAATCAATCTAACAAAAGAGGTGAAAGACCTCTACAATGAAAACTACATAATAGTAAAGAAAGAAATTGAAGACCTTAGATAATGGAAAGATCTCCTATGTTCATGGATAGGCAGAATTAATATTGTCAAAGGGCCATACTACCAAAAGTGCTATAGAGATTTAATGCAATTCCTATTATAATTCCAGTGATGTTCTTCATCGAAATAGAAAAAGCAGTCGTGAAATTTATTTGGAAAAATAAGAGACCCAGAATAGCCAAAGCAATCCTTTGCAAGAAGAGTGAAGTAGGAAGCATCACAATACCAGACCTTAAAGTATACTACAGAGCTATAGTAACAAAAAATGGCATGGTATAGGCACCAAAACAGACATGAAGATCAAAGGGACAGAATAGAAGACACAGAGACAAACCCACATAAATACAGTTATCTCATACTAGACAAAGGCACCATAAACCTACATTGGGGAAAAGATAGCCTCTTCAACAAATGGTGCTGGAAAAACTGGGAATCCATATGTAGCAGAATGAAATTGAGCCCCTATCTCTTACTCTGCACAAAACTCAACTCAAAGTGGATCAAAGACTTAGGAATTAGACCAGAGACCTAGGAATTAGACCAGACACTCCAACAGTCACCTTAGGAACTGACTTCTTCAACAAGACTCCTAAAGCGCAAGAAGTAAAATCGAAAATCAATAAATGGGCTGGGATCAAACTATAAAGCTTCTTTTCAGCAAAAGAAATAATCAAGAACATGGAAAAAGAGCCTACAGAATGGGAGAAAATCTTTGCCACCTGCACCTCAATAGGGTGTAAATATGCAAAGAACTCAGAAAGGTTAGCAATAAAAAACCAAATAACCCATTTAATAAATGGCAAAGGAACTGAACAGCTACTTCTCAAAAGAAGAAATATGATCAGACAACAAATATATGAAAAAAATCTTCAACATCTCTAACAATTAGAAAAATTCAAATTAAAACCACATTGAGATTTCATCTCACTCTGGTCAAGAGTGGCAATTATCAAGAATACAAGTAATAATAAATGTTGGTGAGGATGTGGGGAAAAGGGTATACTCATACATTATTGGTTAGACTGCAGATTGGTGCAACCACTCTGGAAAACAGTATGGGGATTCCTCAGAAAACTTGGAATGGAACCATCATTTGACCCAGTTATCCCATTCCTTGGTATATGTCCAAAGGACTTAAAATCAGCATACTACAGTGACATAGCCATATCAATGTTTATAGCAGCACAATTCACAATAGCTAAGTTATGGAGCCAACTTAGGTGTCCTTCAACAGATGAATGGACAAAGAAAATGTAGTGTATATACATAATGGAATATTACTCAGCCATAAAGAAGAATGACTTTATGACATTTGCCAGTAAATGGACAGAACTGGAGAGTATCATGCTAAGTGAAATAAGCCAATCTCCCCAAATCAACAGTTAACTGTTTTCTCTGATATGCAGAAGCTAACCCACAATACAAGAGGGACAGGAAGAACAGAAGTTCAGTGGATTAGACAAAGGCTAATGAAGGAAAGGAAAGGGGGATAAGAATAGGAGAGACAGTGGATGAATCTGACATAAGTTTCCTATATACATACATGAATACAACACAGTGAATCTCACCATTGTGTACATCCACAAGACTGGGGTCCCAATTAGAACAAGATATATTTCATGCTTGTATAATTATATCAAAATGGACTCAGCTGTCATGTATAACTTAAAAAGAACCAACAACAAAAAAGAATATTCTATAAAGGATATCCCGAGCTACTTCAAGGAGTGATACTGCAAATTTGCCACAAAGCAGTTTTGCAGGGGCTTATCCTACTACATATAGTGTTGTAGAATTAGGAAACACTTTCCTGGAGGACAGAAAGTTTGCTGAATGCCTTTCAAGTTTTAGCCATACCTCCTGGGAAGCTGTACAGCAGTTTAAGGAAAACAACTGCATTCTTTCCCCCGCCCCCTGCACCCCCTCAGTATGGGAACTGAAATCAGGGCCTGGCACATGCTAGACAAATCCTCTAGCATGAGCTACATCCCAATTCTTCTTCTTTTTTTTTTTTTTTATTTTATTTTTTTTTTATTGTTGGTTGTTCAAAACATTACATAGTTCTTGATATATCATCTTTCACACTTTGCTTCAAGTGAGTTATGAACTCCCATTTTTAGCCCATATACAGATTGCAGAATCACATCAATTACACATCCATTGATTTACATATTGCCATACTAGTGACTGTCATGTTCTGCTACCTTTCCTATCCTCTACTATCCCCCCTCCCCTCCCCTCCCCACCCTTCTTCTCTCTCTACCCCCCCTATTGACCTTCATTTCTCCCCCTTGTATTATTTTTCCCTTTCCCCTCATTTCCTCTTGTATGTTCTTTTGTATAACCCTGAGGGTCTCCTTCCATTTCCATGCAATTTCCCTTTTCTCTCCCTTTCCCTCCCACCTCTCATCTCTGTTTAATGTTAATCTTCTTCTCATGCTCTTCGTCCCTACTCTGTTCTTAGTTACTCTCCTTATATCAAAGGAGACATTTGGCATTTGCTTTTTAGGGATTGGCTAGCTTCACTTAGCATAATCTGCTCTAGTGCCATCCATTTCCCTGCAAATTCTATGATTTTGTCATTTTTTAATGCAGAGTAATACTCCATTGTGTATAAATGCCACATTTTTTTAATCCATTCGTCTATTGAAGGGCATCTGGGTTGGTTCCAAAGTCTTGCTATTGTGAATTGAGCTGCTATGAACATCGATGTAGCAGTGTCCCTGTAGCATGCTCTTGTTAGGTCTTTAGGGACTAGACCAAGAAGGGGAATAGCTGGGTCAAATGGTGGCTCCATTCCCAGCTTTCCAAGAAATCTCCATACTGCTTTCCAAATTGGCTGCACCAATTTGCAGTCCCACCAGCAATGTACAAGTGTACCCTTTTCCCCACATCCTCGCCAGCACTTGTTGTTGTTTGACTTCATGATGGCTGCTAATCTTACTGGAGTGAGATGGTATCTTAGGGTGGTTTTGATTTATTTTTTATCTTGAAACAGGGTCTTGCTAAGTTCCCCAGCCTGGCAACTTGTGATCTTCCTGCCTCCGTCTACTGAGTGGCTGGTATTACAGGTACGGTCTTTTTTACTTACCATTTTCTCTGTTGAGGGAAAGTTAGGTGAAATGGCAGTTTAATCTTTAGAAAAAAATCTTGTATGGCTCTATTTGTTATTTGGAAATAGAGAATGACACTGCTCTAAGCCTGGTCCATTATTATCACTACACAGATGCTAAATAAGCAGCACAGAAAACAAGAGAGCCCACCACTGTGGTGCATGATCAGAGAGAGAACGCGGCCCCAGCATGCCACTGACATGCCATATGGCCACAAATCTAAAGGCTCTGAAAGATGCCATGCTTGCACAAGCCCTGAATACCTGCTTTCATTCCCAGTTGGAGTGCTTGAACTACAATATATGGGCCATCTATTTATTAAAGGAGAAAGCTTACTTTGGCATAGGATAAATTGGTGCTTGCAGCAAGATGCAGTTTAATACAAAGGATGTTTCTTGAACTTCTTTCAGGTCTGAGATCCACAGCTTTAGTGTTTGGGGTGTGGATTTTAAAACTGCATGACTCTTCCCCAGCCCCTTTTCTGCAGCTGGCATGAGAAGGAGATTCCCATTCTCTCCATGCCCTGTTCTTTACTTGCTCAAAGCTGAGGCGGCAAAGACACTGGCAGCCTCATGCAGCTTTTCATGGAAAGCCTCCACTCTAACTGGCGCCTGAATGCAATCTCAGACTGTCCCAGGAGACCGTCATGCTCTGAGGTGAATTTGTAATGTCAAGGCCAACAAAGAAGTTAACACAAACTTTCACTGTTCGAGAAAAAGAAAAAAGTCTGCAGGCTTACTGAAGGAGCTCTGCTTCTGTGAGTGCCTCTGTCCTCTGCTCCCCAGTGACAAGGGCCAGTTCATCCCTCAGTTCCTGGATTTCCTTTTGAAGGCATATAATCATCTATGAAAGGCAACGTGGGAGGGTAAATGTCAGTTTCTCATTAATGTGACCTGATGGCAGAGAGCATATATCTTTTAGAATTATGAACTATTTATGGATATAAAAATGGTTAGAGAATGATCTAAAAGGCACTTCTGTACCTACCAGCCATCTTTGTATTTATTTATTTATCTTTTTATTTATTCATTTTATTGGTTCTTTTTTAGTTATACATGATAATTGAACCCATTTTGATGTAATTATACAAGCATGGAATATATATTATTCTATTTAGGACCTCAGAACCTCTCCTTCCTCCAAAATTTCATAATTTGTAAATCTTAATATTGTATCAAATAGCTGTAGAATAATAATAACAACTATGATTATTATCATTATTATTTGGTATTGGGGATTGAAGCCAGGGACACCTTAACACTGAGCTACCTATATTCCCAGTCCTTTTTATTTTTTATTTTCAGACAGGGGGTCTCACTAAGTTGCTGAGGCTGGCCTCGAGTTTGTGATCCTCCTGCCTCTGTCTCCTGAGTAGCTAGGATTACAGGTGTATACCAACACACCTGACTTAGAATTAATTTTTAACAAACAAAACATACTGATGTAACTGGAACCTGCTATTTTCTATTCCCCTTTTGTCCTCTCTGGGATGATCACTTGAATACCTTTACTATACTTAGTTAAGTTGCACTTGACAGTTATGGTATGAATTTACATTATCTTCAGCTATGTGTATGTATGTTCCTGTTTCCCCACATTTTTGTTACTATGTAATATGGACAGGTGCTTTAATTTTATCAATCTGGTAGGTGTTAAATGATATCTCATTTTAGTTCTAATCTGCATTTTCATAATATTAGTGAATCTGATCATCTTTGCATATGTATATTGATTGTTTGGGTTTCTCCTTCTGAGAATATGTATTCACATTCTTGCCAAGATATCAATTGATTTGTTTTTCTTTTCCTTATTAATCTGCAGCCTTCTTCATATATTCTGGATCTGAATCCTTTGCCAGTTTTACGTGATTCACCTATTTTCTCCCAATCTATATCATGTTCTCCTCTTCATGGTGTTATTTTTGATAGATGGAAGTTTTGAATATCAATATAATCAAATTAGCAATTTTATAAGCTGTACTTTTGTATTTTCTTAAAGAAAATCTGTATTACCCCAAACCAAAGTTTATTTTGTGATATTTAAAAAGCATTAAAGCTTTACTTTTCACACTTAGGTAGCTTTTATTTTGTATAAGATATAACATAGGAATCAAATTTCAATTTTTTATATGACTAACCATATAAAATTGCTAATATAATTATGCTATATAACATATTTCTATATGTAAATGTGTCTGCTTCTGGGCTAGAGTTGAAAACATTTGCCTATATACATGATAATGCTATAATTTAAATTATTATATCTTAAAGAAATTTTGGCATCTAGAAAAGACAACCCCCTTCCATATTTTGCTTAGAGTTGCCTATTCTTGGCCATTTGCTCTTCCATATAAATTTTGGGACTAGCTCATCAAATTATATAAAAGCCTTCCTCAAATTTTATTTGGAATTACATTGAATCATCCCATCCATGAACATGGTAAGCCTCTCTCCTTCAATAAAAATTTATAATTTTTCTATAAATATCTTATTTATAGAAAAAAGTTTTTGTTGATATTGTAATTGGAATTTTGGAAAATTATATTTTCTAATTGTTGGCCTCTGGAATACAAAAATGCAATTCAGTTTTGGATTATATACTAAATAATTTTCCAAGCATATTTTGGTTCTGTTTATTATTAAATATTCTTGAATGTTCTACATAAACAATAAAATTATCTGCAAGTAAGGACAGATGTTTTCTTCTTTTCTAATTCTCATGCATTTTATTATTTTTTATTGTCTCACTGTCCTAGCTAGGATCTTCATGTGTAATTCTTAAAACAGTCTTTTGTTATTTCTTCTAACATTTCACTTTTAAAGTGATGTTTATGTAATTTTTTGATTAATATGCTTTATTAGTTTAAATGTTCACTTACAGTTTAATGAGTCTTTCAGTGTGTGGATGAATGCTTAATGTTATCAAATACTTTATTTGAAATCATCCAATTTTTTTTCGTTTAAACTGTGCATGTGATCAATCACCTACATTCATGTAATTTGTCTTTTAATTTGAACTATTTCAGAATACAGAAAAGGCATTAAATAATATATGATACCCACTACATAGCTGAAGTTAACACCCATGTCCCCACTATTTAAGAAATAAAACATTATAGATCTCTTAAAAGCTCTCACCCCTGTATTGCCTTCCATAAACAAATTCTCATTATAATTTTGTTTTTCATTTTTCCTATTTTTTTCTATGCATTGATATATTTTCTAGTGATAACTTATTCCTAAATACTTTTTTGGGGCGGGTACTGGGGATTGAACCCAGGGGCACTCAACCACTGAGCCACATACCCAGCCCTATTTTGTATTTTATTTAGAGACACTGAGTTGCTCACTGAGTTGCTTAGGGTCTTCTTGTTACTGAGGATGGCTTTGAATTCGAGATCCTGCTGCCTCAGCCTCTGAGCTGCTGGGATTACAGAGATGCACCACGGCGCCCAGCTTATCCCTAAATCCTTGAAATAAACCCCCTGTGATCATTATGCAAACTTCCTAAAACAAAAATTAGCAGCTCCAATCCAGCTTTCACACTCCTTTGACTATTTGGTATTTCTCACCAGAAAAAAGAAAGAAGGGGGGTGGGGGGAGAAAAGAACAGACAATAAAAAGAGAGAAAAGAACAAAAAAGAAAGAATGGAATGGAAAGAGAGAGAGAGAAAAGAAAGAAAAAAAAATCTAGTTTGTCTTTCAGTACCTTTGCTAATTCCATAACTTTGCTAGCAGGTTGCCAGGCTAAAAGGGTTGTATGAATTTGAACTTCAAAATCATGAGAGGTAGTGCCGAGAGTTTCAGTTTTTTATATAAAGTACTTTTTGTTCTACTTAGAGTCCAGGCTAAGGCAGACAAGCTGCGCTAATGTCTCTCTATGCCATTAGATTCCACCCCCCCTCCCACAGGCTTTTTGTTAGGGAGATAAGAAGATATCTTAGGTTCAAAATTCCAGGACCTACTCCTATCCCTTTGTTACAACTCTTTTACCCACTCCAGGACAACTGTAGCCTCAGCTTTCTTTCAGGCTCTGGTGAATTCTTTTAATTTCTTTCAACCTCAGATATATATTTCAAAGATGCTTCTAAAAATTTATTTAGGTGAGTTTCAAGTGATCTGGACCACATCAATATGAACATAAGTCCCAAAGAATGTGGTACTGAGTATTTTGCACATGTCAGTGTTCCTAGGATTTTATTTGAATGCATATAGGAGAGTCTGAATTTTATTTGTTAGCTTCTTTTAAAAAATATTCCCAGAATCATCAAGCTATGAAGAACAAAAATCTTCAGACAAGAACCGTGAGTCATTTATTTGAACTCTCCTCCAAAAAATTAATATATTTGGTGCAATACATTTTGCTTCTATTAAACCTTTCAAAGTGAAATGTAAAAAATTACATTATTTCCCTGTCTGATCGAGTAGATATATCAAACTAAGCCAACTTTTTATGATTTGAGATGACCACAGTTATACCTCCCATCAGATTACTGCAGGAACTCTGAAATTAAAGCCATCCTGAGAAGATACTGGCCCAAGCCCAGTCACCAACTCTGACCTGGCTCACAGTTCTTTTATCACCTTCTCTCTCTGAAGTACCAATACTTTTAAGGAAAGTAGGGCAGATCCTTGATCACTCCCATCTTACAGGGCTGCTTCCACATTTGCCATTATAATTTGAGAGTAAGGCATAAGAAATCCCACCCAGTTGTGTCTTAGGTGGTTTCTAGACAAATTTCCAATTGTCACTTACACTTCAGATAAACTATGTACGTAAAATAGTAAATAGAAATGTCAGTGTTCAGAAGAAATTATTATAGAAATGAGGAAACAACATTTGTTAATTACTAGATTGTTCTGTACTAGGCAGACCCCAGCAACTTGTTCAATTATCAGCTATTAGCTTTTCACTCCTCATCTCTGTTTTCTTTAAATCTCTCACAGAGCCACATCAAACACATAATAATGTTCGCCTTTCTTCAAATTCATCATGTCGCTTCAAGGAAGCGTCTCTCTAGACAATTCAAAGGAAAACCCCTTCCAATGTCTAATATGTTGATTTTTATTAATTTTTGTCTTCGGGGCAGTAATGTCATAACTGTCTGTCTTGTTCTGCACAGGAATGTCATAGGGCAGCTGGAAGGTAGGGACAGTAGGAAGTGTAATTTCTCTTGACTCAGGCCCTTGCATTCCATCTCTTCTTCCCTGTGGGGGCTTTTCTTGATGCTGATACCTGACCAGGGCCTGTACTGGAAATAGACTCCTGCCTCATCCATTGGTTTCTCCAGAAGAGAATTCTATCAGGGAAGCCTGGTGCTCCCAGAGGCAAGCAGGGTAAAACATATATTCCCATCATTCCTTTTTCTTCCTTTCTCTCTATTCTTCAGTGTAATGATTTCAGGGGAGAAGGGGCAAATAATCAAGAGGAAGTAATTGATATGGAAAACAGTAAATTTGAGAAATTTTTAATTGAAGCACTGTTGGCAAGATTTCATATTCCTTAATAATGCATACTAGAAAACCTACATCAGCTTATATTCTGGAGAAATAAGTAAAATTGAGTGATTTTTAAAAAATGTTATATAATCCATTTTTTTTTTTTTTGGTAGTGCTGGGGATTGAACCCAGGGTTTCACAGAGCCTAGACACATGCTATACCACTGAGCTGTATCTTTCACCAGCCCTAACAAATCTTTTATTTGGGGATGGGGGGTTACCAGGGATTGAACTCAGGGGCACTCAACCACTGAGCCACATCCCCATCCCTATTTTGTATTTTATTTAGAGACAGGGTCTCACTGAATTTTCTTCTTGTTACTGAGGCTGGCTATGAACTTGTGATTCTGCTGCCTCAGCCTCTGAGCTGCTGGGATTAAAGGTGGGCACCACTGTGCCTAATATATCAATCTTAATTACGGAATTTGACAAAACTTGAGATATTTCATTTCTACATTTTAAGTGTTGGCATGAGCTGATTTGGTACTGCATTTCCTTTATAGAAAGCTAACAAACAGAAAAGAGAAAATATATACATTCATGAAACTTGAAGTTTTTTTCCCTTAAAAAAAGTGTTTTGATAAAGGAGGATTTATTACTATCAAACAAGAAACTTGCTCATTTTTCCATGAATCAGACTGATAATTTTTGAAAGTCCCTAGAATATAGGACAGTGATTCAAAATATTTTTCCCATTAGCATTTCTCTTTCGTTATAAGCATTTATACAAGATGGCTTGTTCTTGTCTCTAGAAAGCTAAACTGAGTTTTGGAACAGGCTGCCTATGTATTTAGGACTCAGGGCACAACTCTGTGGTAAAGTGGTGGGAGCTGGAGGTAGGAGCACAGATTCTTGGCTGGACTGTCTAGATTTGAATCCTGGCTCTGCTACTTATTTTTGTTATTGGTGTTGTTTCTTGGTACTGGGGATCAAACTCAGGTGCTTTATCACTGAGTACTGACCCTTTTTAGATTTATTTTGAGACAGGGTCTAAGTTGCTGAGACTCATTAGCACTGTGATTATGAGCAAGTTACCATCCTTGTGCCTCAATTTCATTATCTGCAGAGACAGAGCCAGCATTTACTCATCGGCTTGTTCTGAGAATTTAATCAGTTAATGCCTTACTTAGAACACTGTCTAGTACAGAGTAAATGCTCCAGCCCGAGTTTTAGCTAATCTTTGATATAATCATTTTTTTCAACAGGTACAAGTTGCTTACCGATCTGGGATCGATTTCTTCATTAAGAACAGCTTCATTCTTTATGAGTGCCACTCGTTGTGCAAATCTGCAGGTAGATATAGATTCCTACAAAGCAAAACAACTTTTAAAAGGGTTATAGCAGGGAGAGAAATTTCTTGTTAGACAAAACTTAAATTTTAGTCATAGAAAAAAGATGCATACCTAAAGAGTGATGTATATAAAAACCACAATGAAGAATGATGCCTCTAAATTAGGGAACTTAGCTCTGGAAGGTTATTTTCTTGATTTTGTCTTAATAAAATGACCAATGCCAAAAATATGGGAGATCCTAAGACCCCAAATGGCAACTGACATGTGTTTTTAAGTATTGATCTGTTAAACCAGAACCAGACATGTAAGTCATAATCACAGCAGGTACCACAACCACAAACATGAGAGACTACAAAATAAATATTTGTAACAGACCAAGAAGTGAGGCCGTTCACGGCACCTCACCATCAAAGGCTTGGCGTGCTCTGGGAAGCACCCTGCTGCTCTCTTGGAGAGGATCTGGACCCCAAACATTCAGCAACTGCAATGTGGGAAACGTCAGCTGGCTCCAGAGCAGCCCAGGAGAGCCGTTCACTAGCCGGGCACCGCCAAAGCAGCCAGCACGCTGCACTCTGGGACACGTCTGGGGACAGATCTCAGGTACACCTCCAAGGTACCCGGATTTTACTAGCCAGGAGCAAAACTGTTCAAGAGAAGCAAGAGAAGACTCTCTCATTTCTCTGCCTAAAAATGCCTTTCAAATTTAAGCAGGCCTTCCAAAATTTGTGTCTACAGCTTTCTCAAACCACCTGGTATATGTGAAGTCAGTTCTCAAATGGATTTTTTTACAATGCTAGCAAATAACCTAATGCTGAGAACTCTGTGGTGTGTTCACCCCTGAAGCCTATCTCAACCCAGCAGAAAAGATGGAAACTCACTCAGGACCCTCAACTTGATCCCCAAAACCAGCAAGGAAAACCCAGGCTAAGATCCCCTGAATAAAAAGAAAAAAAGAAAAACAACATACGTCGATATTCCTTTTCTCTAAAGAGAGCGTCGCAATCATAGTGGTCATGCAGTTCCCTCCCAAACTGTCTCTCAGGACACTGGTCATCATGGAGTTCCTGTAAGGAATGTGCGAACGGTTTTTTTCTGAAAGGGCAATGATGACCTGTGATAAAGTTGAAAAAAACAATAGCATTACCTTGACAGGAAAGGCTCAAGTGACAAACAGTGGAGCTTCAGCAGTAATAAAAATAGGAAAAGAAAGAATGACTAAATGCAGGGTGACATCTAAAAGTTGGGCACGGAATAAATACCTTAGCAAGAATATTCAGTACAAGAATGGTAAAGATGGAATCAAGTAAATGTAGCATGAACCTAGCATTGTGAACCCTGTAATTTCTGGACAGATGAAGTGACTTGCAGACAAGCGGACACACTCTCATTCTGCTTCCAGATGTTGGAAAATCTGTATAAAAACATAATAGTAAATTGTGCCTGATGACTTTGACCCCACCAATATTGAGCTGTAGGGCTAGAGATGTAGCTTAGTGGAAGAGAGTTTGCTTGGCATGCACAAGGCCCTGTGTGGATTGCCAGTACCCTATCCAAACAAAAAACAAACAAATTGAGCTGTGTGCCCCATTTCCAAGGCAGAGGCAGAACAGTGAACAAGAGCTATGAGAAGCTGCGTAAGAGTTTGAGATCCCAGATTCTGATGCAAGTTGTCCAGGGGAAAGTCCTAACCTTACTAGAACATGCCACTCGACATTTCTGCCTCATGTCTTCACATGTACAACCAGGATAAATATAGTACCTACCTCATAACAGTAGAATGATTAAAGGCATTACAATGTGTAAGTCACTTTGAGTAGTAACTGCACATAGTAAGTGCTGTGGACATGTTTGTTCTCATCATCGATGAAAGAGGCAGCTTATCTTACTCCTCATGGGTTCCTTAGGTACTTAATAGGAAGGCACTAGATGGATGATGGGATGCTGGGGCTGTCGCCAAAGAGAGGCACCAGGATCATCCTGGGAAGATTATCCAATGCTAGGATGTCCCTTACAAAGCAGCTGGAATTATTGGCCCACAGAATGTCAATTCAGGGGCATCATAAGATCCTGAACCCTAGGAATATCAACACCTGCTGGTCCAGCCCTCCCTCTGCCCAGCTATGTAGTTCCCATCACCACAACCTTTTGATCTGCTTTGGTTTACAAAACAAGACGTCAAGATTGTTTTTCGAAAGCTGTTTTAAGAAAAAGCATATACCACTAGTTTCACTTTAAATTCATAAGCCCAGGTGTTACTACAACCCAGCAGTCCTGGATCAGTTTCCCAACTGCAGAAAGGAGGCCTTCATACTTTCTCCTCCCTCTTCAAATCTCTGTCCCTCAGTGGTGAGCCAGCCCCATGTCACGGCATCCCTCCTCTCTCTTCTCTCTAACCTCAGATTGAGCTGAGGGCCACCCTTCTACCAGATATAAGCAAGCTGACTGAGACTGTCGTGCATCTGCCACTGGATTCCTACATTCCTATCACTAAAGAACACTGTTTTTCCCTGTTACTGTTCTCAGTTCAGCCCCCCACCCTCTTCCTCTTCTGTCCTCATCGACTTTGCTCCTACATGCATCTCCTCTTGTGCTCTCTTTCATTTGGATGCTGCCCATTCTGGATGCCCACTATTGCACTAGACTAAGATGACTCTTGCCAAGGTCATCAGCAACCTCAATTGTACCAAAAGCACTGACTGTCTTCTTGTTAGCCTTTTGAGTTGAATGAAGTATTCTACACAGGCACTCATTGTTTCCTTTGGGAAAACACTCCATTCACTTGGTAATTGGGACACCATGTTTCTTGGTTTTAGCTCTCCTCAAAAACTAGTTAATGAGGGGCTGGGGTTGTGGCTCAGCAGTAGAGTGCTCGCCTAGTGCGTGTGAGGTACTGAGTTTGATCCTCAGCACCACATAAAAATAAATAAATAAAATAAAGGTATTGTGTCCAACTACAACTAAAAAAATATTTTAAAAAATAGGGCTGGGTTTGTGGCTCAGCGGTAAAGTGCTCGCCTCTCACATGCGAGGCCCTGGGTTTGATCCTCAGCACCACATAAAAATAAACAAATAAAATAAAGGTATTGTGTCCAACTACAAATAAAAATTATTTAAAAAAAATAGGGCTGGGGTTGTGGCTCAGCGGTAGAGCGCTCACCTCGCACGTTCGAGACCCTGGGTTCAACCCTCAGCACCACATAAAAATAATTAAGTGAAATGAAAGTATTGTGTCCAACTACAACTAAAAAATAAATATTTTTAAAAAGCTAGTTAATGAATGATTCCTTTTTTCCTTCCCAAATTGTAAGTAGTGAGGAGTTCCAGAGCTTTGTTCTTGATCCTCTTTTCTTTCTTATTTATACTCTCTTCCCAGGTAATCCCTTCCTATCTCCTGGCTTTTACAGGAATCTCTATTTTGATGTCTTCCCAATATATACCCCAGGTCTGAACCTCTCTTGACGTATCAGCTCTTTGGTGACTCTTCATCGCCACCTGGGTTTCTCTGCTCTCTGCCCCATGTCTGATTCTTTCTCAGGTCTACACATCATTATCAATGACACCATCATTTTCCTAGTTGCTCAGGCCAAAGCCCTAGCCATCATCTTTTATTTTTCCTCACTTCCAATATCCAATCCATCAGCAATTTCTAGGTTTCTTAGGTTTTCCAATAAGACTTACCCAGAAATGGACCACTCCAACCTAAGCCTCCATGATTCCTTGCTTGGACAACTGCACAAGGTTCTGAGTCATCTCCATGCTTCTACTTTTGCCCTTCCATGTCCTATTCTCTGCACACCAACCAGAGCAGTCTTTATAAAACATAAGTTATACCAAGTCACTTCCCTGCTTACGATCTTCTAGTAGCTTCCCAATACAGTTAGTATAATAACTCAAGTCCTATGGAATCTGGCACCCTTTGACCTATCTGACCTCGTCTCCTGCCATGTTCTCCTTGCCTGCACCGGCCTTCTCACAGGCCAATGCTATTCCCACATCAAAGCTTTTGAACTTGATGTTCCTTTTACCCGGGACCCTCCTGCCTCAAATTTTCACACAGCTTTCTATTTCTTCTCATTCAAATATTTGTTCAAATTTTATGTCCTTAAAGGTCTTTCCTGGATACCCTGTCAAATATTACACAGCAATATTAACAGCCTGTTAATCTATTTTATTTTTCTTCTAGTACTTACCACTATTTTAAATTATCTTTATTTACTTGTTCTCCATCTGCTTCCCCACTCAATGTTCTACTCTTCCAAGTCAGAGATGCCATGCCTCTTGGTTACTACTCTATTTCCACTGCTTAAAACCACGTTCCAGAACTTAGTACATGTGGCAGAAACTAAATTGTCTCCATCAGTACTCAAGACACTCCCATTCTACTTTGACTTCATATAAAACTACACATCTTAGTCTGTCTCACAACTCATATTTTGCATAAAACGTAGCCCCACCAAGCAGATTCCCTGTGTGGGATCTGGAGATAAGCAATACGAGGTAGTGACCATAAGGAGGAGAATCAGATTTGTGAAAGAGAAAGGTGGTAGCCATCTGGTTCTTCTGATGCAGCTCTGGTAAAGTTTCTGAAACCCTGCCCTCAATGTCGTAAGTGCCAGGTGGGGATAACAGAGGTGTTTTGCAGAACGATTCAGTGGGGTGGTTAGCTGTGTCTTCTGGTTGCTTTGCTTCCAGCTGGGTGGTATCCAAGCCAGATTTCTAACTTTTATTGAGATTCTTTATGTTTAGTAAACTCTATGCTGCTTAAAATAGCTAGCACGGACTTTCCGGCTTGCAACTAAGAAACCTGATGAATACAACGTGTACTGAACACAATGAATGGATGAACTAGTTTCATTTGGAAAGGCAGTGTGAGGGTCCTCAATATGGAATAAGATTTGGGTGATCTGTTTCAGTGTAATAGGAAGAAAGATGGAGAACATGGCAGCCTTGATATGAGTGGCAAGGGATGCTGAGCAAAGGTTCAGGCCCCAAGAGCTTAAAGAACAAGTTATATACCTGAAACAGGTAAGGTGGCCCAAGTACCAAGTACCAGACCAAACATGGATTGGCATGACTGGTGTGCAGAGAGAGAAGCATTGTTATTTATGAATCATCTATTAAGCATCTAATAGTTCTCTAAGTTCATTGAGGTTCTTTCATAAAAAAAATCACCTTTTCACTGCTCTAGGAAATAATATTTATATATCTTTTCTATCCAATGCCTTTATTGACAACTTTGCATAAAGAAGAACATGCTTATTAAACTCCCTGTTGATATTAAATTGTGTGTTACTGAACTCACTTTTGGTTTTAAGTAACAGAAAATGTAATTCACACTGGTTTCAATCATGAGGGAAATTTATTGGCTCATGGAATTGAACAGGAGGGGCCCCAGGTTAGAAATGACTCCAAAGGTTAGTGCTACCAACAAGGATGTAGTTTTGCCCATAACTCTCTTCTGCTTTCATGTGGCAGAAGTCAGCTCCTCCTCACAGCCACAGGATGGCTTCCAAGTGCCCTGATGTTATATACTTCCTTATTCATAACTTAAGGGAGACAGGACATTGTTTCCCTAATCAATAAACAAAATTCCTGATCTTCTCTAAGGACCAGCCTGGGTCCTGACCCACCCTTGAATCAATCAGTGTAGCCAGGAGAAAGAATCATAATGAACCCAGCCCACTAGAACAGACACAAATCTGCAGAGTGACACAGAAAGGGCAGGCATTCAGGAAAAAGGCAGAGGAAGATGATTCTTGAGTTACTAAGGGGGCAGGAACCCAATAATCTTCTCAAGGGCACAGGGATAGGGTGTAGTCATACAGCCTGGCTTTCTTAAAAAAAAAAAAAAGCTATTTACTTCCATTTGGGGTTTCTTATATAAACACAATGTCAAATGCTCCTGAAAGCATTCTTAAGGTGATAAAGAGTGGAAACTCACATTATACTTAATAACATTTCTAAGGACCTAGAAGCTAGGTCTGGAATCAATAATGACTATTATAATCACTAGCTTACTATTTAATGAATTAAAGCAATTTTCTTTTAAAGATCTCAGAAGGGCATGGAAAATTATCCTCTGAAAACTGACAAGGATTCAGAGCGGTCTGACTACCACTGGCACTGTCAGTGTTTCTCCTGAACATAACATATGCGCCAGGAGCCAAATGGGAATTGAAACTCTGAAAATGTCCACTTCTGTTGCATAACTGGCTGAAAGCAGCCAGATTCCGATTTCTGAAGAGGTGGAGAGCAAACATTCTCCATTCCTGGTGGTTTCTCACTTGATGTTTGGGCTGACGGAGGCCACGGGTCACACCAGGGGCACTTGGTGAGGTTTACAGTGAGCACAAGCATGCATGGCGCCTGTGCTTTTCCTCACACGAACTCAATTTCCAGGGTGAAGACGTACCCTGCTATTGTGGCTGAAAATGTTTTTTGAGGACAATTTTTGGAAAAAGTACTGCATACACAAGAAAACTCCAAAACCAATGATACTCTGGTTAACAGAAATTTACTTACTTCTAACCCTAATAAGGTACCTTGGACTCAGGCAGGCTGGACCCTCCCAGCAGGTGTGGGGCTTCCCAGCTCTGGCCAGGAGGGCAAATCTCATTCTGCATAAAATTCCTAAACCATGCAGGCTAATTAATGCAAGGCAGGTTAGCAAGCTATGTCCTAGTTCATCTCTTTTACATTGAAACTGAGAAAGAGAAGGTATAATTATCAACACTAAAATGGATTTCTAGTAGAGGTTTTCTCTTCCTGTGTTTGCTGGTGACATGGTAGCACTGCCTCTTTCCCCGCTGCCTAAGGTAATTCACAGCACCCAGGGGCCACTCAATCACAATCTAGTGAGTGAAGGAATGAATGAAGCTAGTTACACTAAATTGTGTTATACTTCCGGTCTCTGTGGCCACATAGTAAAGTACTATACCCAGATAATTTGATTATAAAAGTCCTTGAATTATGTTATTTCATTATCTTCCCACTCTTTTCATTATTCTTCTTACCTTGTAGTCCCTGTCTCTCTCTCAGTATCTCTAAATGGATTCCAAAATCCCTTCTCTACCCATCCACCTGCTCTCCAGCAGCTCCCCTTAAATGAACTCAACCCCCATATCAATTTTTTAAAAAATAAATGACAGTGGAATGTATTACATTTCTTATTACACAAATATATCACAATTTTTCATATCTCTGTTTGCATATAAGTATGTTGACACCCAATTCATGTCTTCATACATGTACTTTGGAAAATGATGTCCATTACTTCCCACCATCCTTGCTAATCCCCTGCCCCCTCCCTTTCCCTCCCACCCCTCTGCCCTGTCTAGAGTTCATCTTCCTCCCATGTTCCCCCTCCCTACCCCACTATGAGTCAGTCTCCTTATATCAGAGAAAACATTCAGCATTGTTTTTTTGGGATTGGCTAACTTCACTTAGCATTATCTTCTCCAATACCATCCATTTACTTGCAAATGCCATGATTTTATTCTCTTTTATTGCTGAGTAAAATTCCATTGTGTATATACATTTTTAATCCATTCATCCACTGAAGGGCATCTAGGTTGGCTCCATAGTCTAGGTATTGTGGACTGTGCTGCTATAAACATTGATGTGGCTGTGTCCCTGTAGTATGTTGAAGGCGATCTGGCTGCGACATCTGTCACTCCATTGATGGCCAGGGTTGATTTGGCTGATCTGGTTGGCTAGGCGGGTGTCCCCTTCCTCCCTCACTGCTCCACGTGCGTCCCTCCAGAAGCTGCATGCTCAGTCGAAGAGGACGACCCTCCCCGATAGAGGAGGACCATTTTTGCGGTCAGGGGTGTATGAGTAGCTGCACTCCTCTGCTAGAACCTCCAAACAAGCTCTCAATGCCCCATATCCATTTTTACACACACTGCAGCTTCCCACATTGACACCTTCCCATCTTTTCCTCTTGAGCTTGTGTTAATTTTTTCTCCTCATTCCCTGACCTTATCTTGAGCCTCCTTCTTGCCCACAAAGCCACTTGGATATGAGGGTGAATAGTTAACAGATGAGAAGAAGCAGGTCACAATGAAACAGATAAATTATACATAAGAGCCACAGTCAATGACACATGGGTGAAATTGGGACCCAGAATGACCCAATGCCCCCAGGGGGCTGGAGAAAGGAGCTGAGAGGCTCCAGTTCCCACTGCCTGACCTGCTCTAGGCCCTTGCCTCGCCTGGCTCACCCCTATTCCTCCCTCAAGCCTCGGCTTAAGAGTCAGCCACCAGCGAAGCATCCTGAACCCTCACCTCCTCAGTCTGAGTCAGGTCCCCATGTGAGCTCTGCTCACTCCTTCTCCTTCCTCTCCACAGCTCTCACCCCACCACAGTCACAGACTTCATGCTTGCTTGCTTCAAGTTGTCCTCCTACCTCAAACCATGAGACCCTGGGGCAAGGACCACTCTCATTTTGTCTGTCACCGTGTTCCAGTGCTTAGCACTTTACAGGTCCTTACACATATCTGTTAGATAGCTTAATTATTGATACAGAAAATCAAATGTCATGTAGCCACCAAGACCACTCACATGAGGCTGATATTACGAGGATTTGAAGAGAGGAAATGTGAGGATAGGAGCAGTTTTAGTGACAGGCAGCTTGCAAAGCCTGTGTAGAACAAAGGAAGAAAAGGGGGTAGACATTTATTTCTCTTGAGTGATTACAATTGGAAGAAAGTTCGATTCAACTGATGAATTTTATGTTATATGAACAGATGGACATAATGGGAATTATAACAGACTATGCTGCCATCTGAAATAAGTAGATACATTTCTTTGAAATAAAGCACTTTGAATACAGTTCATTACGTTTTCATATCATTGTTCTGTAAGTGTCCTATTAAGTAAAAAGCTCTGTTAAGCATAAGCAGTGTGGAATATTTAGCAAGAAAGAGCTAAGGACTGCTGACTCTTGTCAAAATTCTAAAATGATTGGGATGCCATGCAGATCCGTATCTCTGGGTGCTGCATTACTGGGATGCACTGGGTCAGAAGCTACCATGTGCATCCTGTTCACACAGTCTCCCTTCGGTTTCTCTCAACCAGCTTTCGCAGACACAACCATTATAAAGCATTTACCATCAGGACAGCATGAGTCTCAAAAGGGTTCATTAGGCCGTTAAAAAAAAAAAAAAAGTTTTGTTCTTTGTTTTCCCCTCAAGTCTTTTAGCCTTAACATTCATTAACAAGTCCTCCTGCCTCATCAATATCCTCTGTACTTCTCCATTCCAGTTTTTAATCATGTTTCTTTTCTAGAATCTGAAAACAGTTGCCATCCTTAACATTCAATTCACACTGCTCGTGCTCACAAAGTGAAAGGAACTTGAGAAATCATCTAATCCAAGCCACTCATGTTGGAGATAAAGACTTTTTTTTGGAAGATATGTTTAGTTAAAATCAGATAAGCTTTCTGTACCAAACTCAAAAATTAAAATCAGAGCACCTACTGGGCTGGATCGTAGTCAACTTGGATTAGAGGTAGGGAGGGAAATTGAGCCTAAGGGGACAAAATTGCTGACTAGATGAAGTCACCGGAAGCTGGAAAAATATTGGCCACCTCCAAGTTATAGCCAATCTACAAGCCAGAAGGATTAGGCAACAGGAGGCTATAGTCACACTCACTACTAATTTTGCAATAAAGACAATAAGGCAATGAGGCAGTAAGTGGAAAAAGGCATTGGCTGTATAGTCAAGTAAATCTCAGTTCAAATCCTCAGCCACCCAGTAACTGGGTAACTTTGGGAAGGCCTTGGGAGGACTTGGATTTTTAAAACCCAACACCTACAACATGGGGGTGTTGTAAGGTTTAAATGAAATGGCATATACAAAATGCTAGTAGATACACCTGTGTTTCCTACAGCATTGTTTACAACAGTTAAAGGTAGAAACAACCATCGAGACCTTCAAAGGATGAGTGGATGAACCAAGTGAATAAGTGCATATTATTCAATCTTGAAAAGGAATAAAATTCCAAAACATGCTACAATGCGGATGAACTTCTAAAATATCATGCTAAGTGAAATAAGCCAGACATAAAAGGACAAATATTCAAATAGTCACTCATATGAGGCACCTGGAATAAGCAAGACAACAGGTACAGAAGGTGGTATAGAGGCTACGGGGATAGGAGGGGATGGGAGCTATCGTTTAATGGGCACAGAGTTTCTGCTTGGGATTATGAAATGGATCTAGAAATTGATGGCGGTGATATTGCAGAACATGGTGAAAATACTTGTCACTGAACTGTTCACTTAAAAAGACGAAACTGGCAAACTGTCTATTAGGTCTACTTAACAGAGAGTAGAATGGCAGGTGCAAATGAAGTGCGAGGACGTTGCTGTGGTGAGTCCCACTCTTGCTGCCTTACCTGCTCCAAGTAGTGCAGTGACAAGTTGATATACTTGGCCTCGGTCAGAAGCTGGCCCCCTACGCCACTCTTGGCAACTCGTTCAGAGCCAGCCAGGTCAACCAGGTGGAGCTTGGCGTGCCGGACAGTTGCAGAGCCTGGCTCCTTGCTTGACAAGTGAATGGTGAAGATGCAGTGGGAACGGGTCGAGGCTTGGTTCATGGGAGTCTATGAAAGAAGAAATCGCAAAACAAAAATAATTAGAACTGAGCACTTTGGAAGAGTGTCAGAAGATTTAAATGTGTATTTCTAAAGATATAGCATTTCCCATGGAGCCAACACTGTCAAATGGAACAAAAACACTTGTAACTGAGACCTATAAAGTACGTGCTTTTCAATGTTATTACCGCTGATGACTGAAAACCAATGTGGATGGGTTAATTCAGAGAGTGACGTAAAGAAACGTTCTAGTGAGGTGAAGACCCAATCCTCTCACCAGGATGACAACTTTATTTCATCACCCAGCTATAATCCATGCCTATCCTTGGCCATCCATATTGAAAATGGCTATTTTAACCTCACAGGAAGGAGAAGAGAGTGTGCGTATCAAGAGAACAGTTTTCCCAATGGTAAACACGATTCACAGACAAGGATGCCTAGGTCACTGCTACTGCTCAACACTGAGCCACAGGCTCTAACCAGCATCATAAAAAAGAGACCGACATAGGGGCAGAATAATAGGAAAAGAATGCATTACAATGTCATTGTGTATAGAATATTTACAGTCAACCTAGAAAACTCAAGAGCTTCTATAAAAAAAAAAAAACAACTGATAAGAACCAAAAAGTTTATCAGTATTGCTAGATACAAAATCAATTAAATTCTAACAGCCCAACAAGAATTAGGAAATCAAATATTATTCAGAATGGCAACAAAGACAAGGAGATAACAAGGGATTACTTATGTAAGAGATATGATCTATAGGGAACTGATGAAATAGTATTTAAGAACATAAAAAGAAAACCTGAAATATACCAATTCTTAGATGAAAAAACTAAGAATCTACATACGAAAGTTTGTATGTTAACCTATATATATATATATATATATATATATATATATATATATATAATGCAATTGAAATAAGAATATTTCCAGTTTTTTCCCCCAGAATAAAACAAAGTGGTTCTAAAAATCAAGTAGGAGAAAATCTTCATATAAAAAGAAAATTAATTCTGTGAAAGAAGCAGGGTGGAGGGGTGCTTGTCCTTTCCTATGTCCAGGTGTACCACAAAGCCACGGTCATTAGAGGAGCACTGAAGCAGGAGCAGACAACTAGGTCTATGGAACATGCTGTGCTCAGTGAGCAACTCCAGGTAGGACACAGGGGACATCACACTGCAGAGGAAAAATAACAGACTAATTAATTAGTGGTGCTAGAATACCTGGCACTCCAGGTAGGAAAAGGTAAATTTAGGTTAACTTTTTACACTATATACACAGATTCAAAAATAGAATAAAGCCTTATGTGTAGTAGCATCTGCCTGTTACAGAAAACATCCAGATTTTGGTTTTTTGGGATTGCACTTAGCATGATATTCTCCAGCTCTATCCATTTACTGTTAAATGCCATCATTTCATTCTTCTTTAAGGCTGAGTAATATTCCTTTGTGTATATGTACCACATTTTCTGTATCCATTCTTCTGTTGAAGGGCACCTAGGTTGGTTCCATAGCTTTGCTATTGTGAATTGAGCTGCTAGAAACAGTGATGCGGATGCATCACTGAAATACGCTGATTTTAGGTCCTTTGGATATTAACTGAGAAGTGAGATAGCTGGGTCAAATGGTGCCTTAAGTGTAAAATAACACAATATTAACAAGAACACAAGAAAATATGGAAGTATATTGTAATCAGTCCAGGGTAGTAATGGATAGCTTTCAGTTAACATAAAAAATAGAAAAATAAATTGACTCAAATATGATTTAAATATTTGGCAAAATATCCCCAAATTTAAAGACTTATGTAAGTGGGTGAAGATATTTGCAATATGTAAGTCTGATTAAAGATTAAGATTTGAAATACACAACTCATTACTCAAGAAGAAGACAACTCAGAAAAAAAGGCAAAAGCTAGAATAGGGATCCTATAAAGAAGGAATCTAAAAATGGTTAATGTATATTTGAAAAAAATGCTCCAATTTATAAATTTTGAGAACTATCTAACTTTGAAAAATAAGAATAAATGATTTCACACCCACGAGAATGCAAAAATTAAAAAGATAAAGTCTAGCACAACAAGTGCTGCTGAGGACCTAAGGAGATGGGAATTTTTATATACTGCTGTTGGAAACGTAACTTAAGAACTTTAATAAGAGCAATTTGACAGTATGTGGCAACATTGTTAATGCATTAAACTCACAACCCACCAAGAAACTACTAGGTGTATCTCCTAGAGAGAATTCTTGGGTAGGTATATCAGGAGACACAGGTATAAGGACATTCACTGCAACATTATTTGGGAAATTGGTGCAAAATGTACAACTTAAATGAACGTCTGCAGCAGAAGAGATTAATAGGCTGGGATAATTCAAAATACAGAGAAGTTAAAATGAAATAACCTTCAGAAATATTGACATGGATAGGTTTCTGAAGAAATTCCTCGTGCTGAAGAAAAACAGCAAATTAAAGAATGATGTGAACCCTGTGATAGAGTTTATGTAATCATACAAGTGGGACTACCTATTGTTCACAGGAGTATAACTTAAGTCACTAAAAGGATAACAATGTGGACCAGAAGGATAGGGCAAATTGATGATGGTGGTGGCCTTTTTGAGGTTAGAAGTAGAAGACCAACAAGGACACATCAGCTTTCTCTGCGACATGCTATTTCGTTTATTCAAAAATTATTAGAAGAAAATTTTCGGTTGTGAAAACTAAAATATGCTGGTCTTATTGTTCTCTGTACTTTTTTAGATTATAAATTTTCTACAAGAAAGAAAATGAGCTGAGTCAAGATGTTTGTTAGCAGTACCACCTTGTCAAATCATAAAAAAACTAGGACTATTCCAAATGAATATTCATGAGAGTAAATATGTTCAGATTCCCACCTTTGCAAAATGGGACTTAACCAAAGAATTTTGGTATGAATGCACATGTATGCAGATAGGGAAACATATCTGGATGCTATTTCAACCAGAAATTCTTTCGTAAAAATAACTTCTTGATCTACACCATGGTTGATTTACACCAACTAGCAAAATATACAGATGGCATAGTTTTGGTGATGATGATGTAGCTAGTGAGTTAAATAGGCTGAAAATTTGACCCATTACTTGTTGCCACAATAACTATACACAAACCTAGCCAGTGTGTGATTTTGCATGCTAAAGTGGATCAGCAAATAACTGTGCATGTAAAACCGCAAATTCAAATTTAGAACCTAAGTTGAGGTGTTCTGGAAGTGACTGTAAGTTATTTGCAGAACTTAAACATGGGTTTCGTTTCACTGTTATATTCGCACAACAATAAATCCTACAGTACTGTAACGAAAGTCAAATTAACATCGATATAAACAAATAACACAGACTATTCTCAACAGCTGTCTTCGGCTTCGAAACTGATATGGGGAAAGTGCAATCAAATGTGGACCATTAATAAACATTGGAGCGCGTGCCCATTTATTTCAAAGGAATATGATATTTACGAAAATGAAATTACATTTCTGGAGTCTATAATTAAAGTGCAGTAATATGCTGTAGAAGTCCATGCCTACAGTTTTGTAATGTCTCATAAATATTTTCTGCATGAAGTAGTGGTTGGTGTCCTTTTAGATAAAATTTTCTTAAACCTCAGAAAACATTCTTTATGTGGAGCTGTTTAAGTGTGATTGGATGTGCTGGTATCTGCTCTGCGTTTAGTTAAGGACGTCTTCGTGTCTTGTGGGCATGCCCATTTGCTTGTCCTTTTAAAGGTAAAACCGTATTAAAATGTTTCTGAAATTGCCGGAGAACAGATGGCACCATTTAGGCAGATTCATTCAAATCTAAGCGCACGTTTTAAACAAATGTGTTTCTGGCATTAGACTGTGCCTTTGGAAAAACTCTAAGGATGATTAATCATCTGTACACAGAGGGCTTTCACATTTCCTATCAGTCTATGTACAGAGCTGTACTAGGCAAAGCGGAGACAAGAAGGAAAATAAGACACGGACCTCGCCCTCAGGGAACTTGTAATCTAGTCAGGAATCAGAGCCAAATGTGTGAAATGAGAGTGAATGTGAAATGAGGGAGAGGCAAAAATGTGTGGTCAAGAAAACGATCTGTTCCCAGCACTGAGTGTCCTGATCCCCTAGTCCTATCTGAGAACCTGCCCATTCCTCTTCCTGGAAGCTCCTTGTCCTCTGCCCACTGCCTGGTTTCTAAAGCCAAGGGCTCTCCAGCTTCTTCTCCCTCCCTAACCACCCTGTCTCCTTTTCCTTCACAGCACCCTCTTTCCTTCAGCTGTGGCCTTGAGATTTCTTCCCCTTGGGAACACACCTTTGACAGCCTCATCCTCATTGGATAGGCTCTAGAGTGTAATAAAAAAATCACAAATCAAAAACCTTAAGAATTTGGCATCGATGAACTGGTTTCAAGTCCTGGTTCTGACATTTGCTAGAGTTAAAAGCTTCAACAAATTTGCATGAGGTAATTTTGGTTTTCATCTCTCTGAAATGCCACAATAAGACATGCTTTGCTGCAAAGAATTATATTACATACCAGTTGAGTTGCTAAATGTTGAAGTGCTCTGTGAACTGTAAAAAGGATCACATAACTTCCATCACTGTTGATCTTCACTCTGTTCTGGTGCCTCCCCATTCATATTTCCTACCCTCAGGTTCTCTGCACACCAGCTTAACTAACAGCTGTCACTAAAACGCCCTGCTTGTATCTTGAACATAATGCTCCCCAAACAACCACGTCAACTTTCCCTCCCAGTGGCCCATCGGTGGATGTCCAATCCATCCTACTTCTCTCAGACTCCACTTCCTCCCATCTTCTTCATTAATCAATTACCCCTTACCTCTCACCTGGGCTGCTGCATTCTCTTCTCATTAGTCTCTCCATATTTTCTTTGTCCCTCCGACTGTTCTCTATCTTCAAGAGTAATGTTTTTAAAAGGAATATTTAATTATGTCAATCTTGTCCAAATCCCTGAGTTAAAAGAGTATGTTTCCTAACACCAAAT